TTATATCGTAAGTAAGAGAATACTTCATTTGCCCCACTAGAAATAAGAACTGTATTTCACAAGTTCACGAGTCAACGGGTTTATTAATGGTTTGTTTTGCAGTATGCTGATCGACACTGGTTCTACTGCTACACACTTTCGATCTGCTTTGGTAATGAAAAGTGAGGAATTGTTTCCAGAGATGAAGAAATTGTGCATTGATGTTAATAGTAAGTAGTAAAAAAGTTTCAACTAAAAGAAAATTGGAAGCTATCATACACAACATGATGTGTGGGTATTTGACATCAAGGAAAAGTACATATTGGAAACTGACTTCATACGAAAACATGGAAGCAAGGTTAAAGTAACTTCAAGTAGCTTTACAGTTTATAACCTAAAATTTCCATGCACCATACGAGAAATACACCATCAAACTTTGGACTTCAAGTAACAACAAAGACGGGTTTACAGAATTAATCCGCCACCCAACCTTGAATGTAACCTAGCAGAATCCAGAAGGATAAGTAGTTCAAAGAAATGTTGATCTATCATGATCAACTTTGGAAGCACGTCAAGAGAGAACAACCAATTAATTAACTTCAACAAATACTACTCACGAAGTGAATCAATCTGCTGGAAAGACAGGGGTACCTGACAAGATCACTTCAAGAGAATCACTCGAGATGGAACCACCGTTGGATTCGTTCGTCTATCCACGTGATCAGAACTCCCACTGTGCCTAGATTGTAAGCGAAGATACAGGAAAATATATCGTCGAATCTTCGTACAATAAACCATGGAGAACAAAATCACCAAAAAATGAAGAAATTTGATTGGGCAGTTTCGATATAGTAAATAAGACAATGAAGCTTTTCTTTTGTTGATCTTATTTGTTAATTGTAACTTGTTTAACACACTTAATTAAGGATTTAGTTATTGTAATGTATATTTATGAATACAAAATTTTTGTTAATTGTAAATATTGACTGTTGCTAATTATGGTATTTTAAGTATAGTATATTGTTTTATTTGTGTATTAGGATTATTAAGGGGTTTCGCAGTCCAGGTTGGTTCTTAGTTTTTCTAATTTAGTTGTTTTGGTTCTTAAAAGAGCATTTAGAGCACGACGTCTAGAAGCTTCTTCAACGTCCCAGCCTATCGTGACAGCTCGAATCTTCAGGAGGTATGGGGAAAATGAGTGTTTTATGAAAACACTTAAGTTAATTATTTAGTGAATTAATCAAGGAGCTAATCTAAAAGAGTTAGTCATTTAGTGAGCTAGATAGAATGAACTTAATGAGCGAGTCAGTCACTTAATTAATGTATCGATTACAGTGATAGTGATCGATTATCGAACGAATAAGGTGATCAGCAATTTTTGAATTGTGTCGTAGAAACGAGAGGAAATTTAGCAACTAAGTGATTATTATATAGTTTTATTTGTGATTTAGGACTACCAAAGAAGGTAGTCCGTAGAACTTATACGTTACCGTTAGAAAAATAAACTCCTTATCGTCAGGTGAACTGAGCTTTGCAGTATATTTTTACCGAATAATTATAAAGAGCCTTCCCTATAGTCTTACACTTCTAAATTAGGGACGGCTAGCGCAGATAGCCCTCGTGTAGATTTTCGCGAAATCCATGACAACCCTTTTCTTACGCTGACATTGAACTGATTGCACCAAGCTTTATTGCTGTAACATGAAGCATTATGTGAATACAATCGAGTTTATTGTATTAGCTAGTTACCTCTAAATTAGAGTAAGTTTTGTCCAGAAAACATACTTCAAAATTGTATGTTGTTTGTATAATATTCAGAGGGTTAATCTCACTTTATTTGAACGATCCGTATACGCTAGATGGCGTTTTGCTGCAGATGTAAACCATGGTGGTATGAGCGACATGTTTGATACTTTACATACTTGTTTCATGTTCACTTCACGACCATTCGACAGTGTTACGAAACAATGGGCAGAATTACAACTAGAGGGATAAATAAAACGATTTTTAGAAGAGGAATATTCATACATCAATACTGTTCAGCAATGAAAGCCAATAAAAATAAAGTTGCAGAAGATATTTAATTCCAGCCTAACTCGGAGCAACTTCATCCTTAAAATAAATGTTATAGTTACAAAAGAGAACCCTCCTGAAGATCAACAAATATATCCGAAATTCTAGTATTGAATATAAGTATTTAAATTCTTCCATTCAACAACTGTCATCAGAATTTCAGCAACAATCTTTAAAACGTCAGAACCTATAGTAAGCCCATACATTTGTTGGTAACTTCACTCATAAACACACCGCAAAGTGAATAGTATGTTTGTTGGGTTTTTTAAATCTACAACACTACAAACTTCCTTATTTAACACACAGCAAAGTGAATAGTATATTTGTTGGGTTTTTTAAATCTACAACACTACAAACTTCCTTATTTTATAAAGACTATCATCAATAAATATTTTAACAGCTTCAGAGCCATAAGTGAAAAATTACTTTACGTAAAAGTTACAATAACATTTAAATCCACCAGGTTTAATGTTGAAATGAGTTCAACTAAATGGTAGGAATTAATTATATATAATACTAAGAGAATAAGTGGCATCCTCAGAGAATTATGAAAAATTATTTGTTGTTATGCCAATAAAAGAAACAATGGGATTGAAAAGTATGTCTGAATTATGAGCCTCAGACAAACCATAAGTATGAGAACAATGTGACTCTAGTTTCGTTAATAATGAGTATCTAATAATAAACAGTTATTTTTAATGTTTTGACATGATCCTTTGCAGTTTCATATGCTCTTTTGGTATCACTTACTGTTACATAGGTACGTGTAATGTGCTGGAGAAGGAGAGGGGAGCATTGAAATAGTTCTTAATAGCTTACTGATTCCAGTAGGCTTATTCATGTACCTTTAAATCAAATATTAGCTGGTCCACTCGTCTTCTTGTGGCAAGATTACAATATAATAACAAATTTAAATTTTCTTGATACGTTGAGTTTTTTATATTAATACCACAGCTTCACTTTTAATTACAGGTAAAACCCTCAGTTCTTTGCTAATAAGTAACGAAACGAAGGTGCATCTATCCTGTTTCAAGAGCTTATCAAAAAGTGGGTGATGATTTTAAATGTTTTGCGTATTTTCTGTCTCGAACTTGTGCTTTTAAACCAGGTGCTGTCTGTATACGACAAAATCTATCCAACCGATGCTAATACTCCAATGACGCCTCATTGGCCTGGTGGTTAAGGCGTTCGACTCGCATTCTGAGGGTCGCCAGTTTGAATCCCCGTCACCAAACATGCTCATCCTTTCAGCTGGGAGGGCTTTACAATGTGATAGTAAATCCCACTATTTGTTGGTAAGGGAGTAGTCCAAGATTTGGCGGTGGGTGGTGTTGACTAGTTGCCTCTGCTCTAGTCTATCACTGCTAAATTAGGGAAGGCTAGCGCAGATAGCTCTTGTGTAGCTCTGCGCAAAATACCAAACAAACAATACTCCAGTGAGTGAATTCAAAATATGCTTTTCACCACAACTCCTTTTTGTTCACTAATATTACTGTAATTGCTCAAATTTCACCCGATGTTCTGATTTACTTTTATATCATTCTTTAATAATCGTTAGTTTATTTTTATACCTCAATCCCGACTCCAGTTTTTCTTAACTGGGGTGGAGGGATGAGACATTTAATGGATCCAATCTAAAATTAGAATAATGGACGGCATTAGCTTTGGGGTGAGGGTGGGGGCAATGACGCTCATTGGGCTCGATCGTCTGTCTCTGCCCCTGCTAGTGCCAGTTCTGTTACATCTGAACTTGTGAAATACCTCTTAGCTTCATAAGACCCTTTATTAAATTTCTTTACATAAGTAAGTCATTGTTAGCTTAAAGCATATTAGGATTATAGTTGAATAAGTTATCACCAGGGGTGATACAGAAATGAAGTACATACACCATTTGGTGACAATATATTTTTCAGCAGTTTATCAATGCTCTATAAATTTATTACCTTATCTTATCGTCATTTTATAACTCGTTGCATGAATACTATAAATTGTTCAAGTTTCGTACTTGTAACTGCATAACAATCCACCAAAACTTCTACATATAACTAGCTAAACTATACTATATCTACATGATAGATCATTAAAATTTCCACAACCAGATAAACTATGGTATCTGCGTAATAAATCACTGAAATTCCCACACATAACCAGCTAAAGTATAGTATTTATTGTTGCCTTCTCCATACGATCACCTAAGTCTAATTATTAATCAATTATTATTTTTTCAATTAGTAAACACATTAAGTACTCAGTATCGACTAAATCAAAAAATAATAATTATTCCCCGCAACCTTTACGCGAGCACATATAATTGGGTGAATTATTCCATCTGCGTAATGATTATTCCAAATAAACAGCTGAAAGACAACAGAGGAATCTACTAGACCAACTAAAAATTCATGAAGAGGAATTCAGAAATAAGAGTATTCGATTGGTTATCCTCCCCGATGCATGCAATGGTTTATTGAAGCTCATAATGCGTATATTGTAACGCACACCAGAATTTAACTGTTCTTCTTTCTATGTTCAAGTATAAATCACCGAATACAAAATTTACTCTGACATCTATTCCCTTTTAATAAAAATCGTAAGCACTGAACATAAAAATAAAAATAAACGGCTTTCTTAAAGAGTGTATGTTCTCTATTGTGAATGTAATATGATATTCGTGAGTTAACACTCGGGAACTTTATTTACCAAATAATCGTATTCACATAGCGGCTTATCTTGATTTGAGTTCATAATATGTATATTTTATTTAGCATTTCACAGAAAAGCGGAGATTTCAATGAACTTCTTTATACACATCAAAGTTACGTATATTTGTTTTGTATAAAAGAAGTTTTATATTATGTAAAAATGATATTGATAAACTATAAGGTTCTATAAATTGTACAGGTTATATTCTTTGATTACAAAATGTCCAAATATACCAATACTCATATTCGTTGCCTTAGCAATAATAAAAATATTTATTAATTATGATATTCAGATCAATTTGTGTATGGCTTTCTGGTCAAATAGCAATCAAATAGTCTGTATTTATAACTGCACGAACACCTAATTTCAGAAGTTTAAAAAGGTTTATATGACTGTGGCGTTTCGATTTTCGCCTTCTTCAAGACTGTTTGTTTGAGTTGTGTTGGACAAACCATCTTGACGAAGGCAAAGCCTAAAAATATTGATAAAAAATCTAAAACTAGTGGCTCGTTTACTCACAAATACAACAAGTAACTTTTAACTAGCGTAACAAATCCAATAAAGTAGATGTAGTGGAATTATATGTCTGTTGAGGAACGATTGGATACTATATGTAGAACTTGTCATGCACACAGAGGCTCATTTTCACTAGATACCCTGAAGTTCATTCTTTAAGCCGAAAACGTTCTTTAATGCTTTGCATACTCCATTCTATATTGTTTACTTCTTCAGTAACCCAAAACTTTGAAAACAGCATTACTAAATATCATAATTCTGCCATGTTTGCGAGATCAAACTTTAGATAAAAACTTCTATTGAAATTCAGCGTAAACCACTTATTTCTGCTCATTTTTTTTTCTCATCTTCATCGTCATAATATTCATCATCATAATCTTCGTCTTCATAATCATCTTCGTCTTCATTCTCTTCTTCTTCTTCTTCTTCGCGCTTTTTACTTCTGTTTCTGCTCCTATTCCTGCTTCTTCTTCTACTTTTGCTCTTCCGTTTCTTCTTTCGCCTCTCCTCTCGTTGCTCTTCCTCCGACAAGGTGGTGGTTTCCACATAAAGTTCATCGTTTCGATTGTAGTGCAGTTCGGAATTCTCACAGTCCACTTTGTTCACAAACCGGCATGTAAATGTCGTTTGGTCATACAAAGTGTAATTCGGGCAAAGAAAGTCGAATCGCTGACTTCCGAAACACCAGTGAAACAGCTGGAAAATACGTAACAGAAAGCCATGAATTACATGCGAAAATGAACCACACAGAGAGAATTATTTAGAAAGCTATTATATCATATTATATTTTGTTTTAGTAGAATATCTAGGAGAATATACTGTAGAATTTATTTATATACTCAGAGAAAGGACAAAAATTTATTACGGTTGATCCACAAACACCGACTACGCTTCAGCAAGTGAGTGGGTCTCTTAGGGCAGCATTTGATAGCAGTTAGTTAACATTATATCTCATACGAAAATATTTGATTCAATCTTCTAAGTTTAACACTTAAAAATCAGTTGTAAATTTCCCTAAAGAATAGTTTATGAAACACAGAGGAAAAACATGATGGTCTTACCGCCATCTTAAAACGCTACACTTAATTCCGTTCTTGTGTCGTGTATCATTACTAAACGAATATATATATTTTACGAGGTGTTTGAGCAGAAAGATCAATTAATGTTGTTTTTTTAAACTACAAAACTAGAAAACAACAGGTAAATATAAAGAAAAATGGTAAAACTGTGTGTCTTAATTTGTTTAAGAAATAATAATTTTATGCTCAAATGATATAAGAAAAGCTACTGATTTCATAGCATTTTTCAATAAATTTAATTAATACTAGGAACCAAGTTTACTACAGTTATACGTTTCTGTAAACATAATGATCCTTTGCGTGACATGATGAGTGACAACATTATGATCACATGTTTATTGCGTAACATGATGAGAGGCAACATTATGGTCCCATGTTTATGGCGTGACATGATGAGTGGCAACATTATGATCCCACGTTTATGGCATGACATGATGGGTGGCAACATTATGATCCCATGTTTATGGCGTGACATGATGAGTGGCAACATTATGATCCCATGTTTATGGCATGACATGATGGGTGACAACATTATGATCCCACGTTTATGGAGTGACATGATGAGTGACAACATTATGATCCCACGTTTATGGAGTGACATAATGAGTGGCAACATTATGGTCCCATATTTATGGCGTGACATGATGAGTGGCAACATTATGATCCCACGTTTATGGCATGACATGATGGGTGGCAACATTACGATCCCACGTTCATAGCGTGACATGATAAGTGGCAACATTATGATCCCACGTTCATGGTGTGACCTGATGGGTGGCAACATTATGATCCCACGTTTATGGAGTGACATGATGAGTGACAACATTATGATCCCACGTTTATGGAGTGACATGATGAGTGGCAACATTACGATCCCACGTTCATGGTGTAACCTGATGGGTGGCAACATTATGATCCCACGTTTACGGAGTGACATGGTGAGTGGCACACAAGATGAAACTATGTAAACAGAGAGTAACTTTCTGAAATTTTGCTCATAAGTAAGTTATTTAAACCATTGTACGATTTTTTATTGAGAAAATTTCTGTACAATGACTTCTATATCAAAAGAATTGTCTTATGAATACTTACAATTGTATTTATTCTCTGATAAGCTCGTAGAGCTCAGAAAATAAAACAAAGCCAAATTAAAAAAAAAAAGAAGAGAGAGAGAGAAATTAGAATTTTCATATGTTAACTCTTTCTATAAAAAAATTATGCAGATTTCAAGAGCTACATAAGTTACTGGAAAATAATTAAAAATACGAATAATTTGTTTGATTTAAATGTTTAGTTCTTTACCCACCACTAATAAATTAAAACATATTAGGTGTTTAACTTACCCTAATCATCGTCTCGGGCAAATATCACATACAACAATGGTCATTACAAAAACTTATACTTATCTCTTCGGACTTGTGTATTGTCTCCACCCTCCCCCCTCTACCCCCGCATGGGTTAGTATAAGTTATGAAAATAATCTTTAACAAATGTAATCTAGAATTGTTGGATACCACACTATGACTTTGGTCTGACAAAAAGTATGCTATAAACATATTCCTTCCAATGAAGACGTCTTCTGTACGAGCTCCAAGAGCCAGTCAGATAAATTAATTGTAAATACTAAAAGCCTGACAGGTTTTAAAATTTGTTCCGACTCACAGTAAAAATAGTCACTAGTATTCTTTGTGAAATAAAGGTATTATTTTTGTGGTACGTTTATATCTATTTCACTTTTTTACTTGTTGTCTATTCATTTAATTGTTGCGCAGTAGATTTCCTTTCAAACCAAACTTTGAATTTCTTATGGAAATTTGGCAGCGATATTAAAAAAAAACTTTGTTAATGAAACTTGACGATCAGTTCATTAAACTATAGAATGTTAGTTTCAAAACCAAAAGTTGAATTTAAAGTTTTATGTTCGGGTGATTTTGTGAAACGTAGAAAGAAATATGTTTTGTCAATGTTCAGTGATACACAAGAACAGCGTAAAATGTCCAAAATAGTGAGTAATTCATACTGTCATAAATTAAGTTTGTCAAAAAAATAATAATAAATTGAAACTATTATCAACAGCACCAGATCCTATGGCAGCAAGAGCATTTGAAAATCTGTAGGTATGGACGTCTTTCCCTAATTTCATGAAGAGGGAAGTTAAAAAAGAATGAGACATATAAGGCACTTAACAAAGAAGAATGTTCTTGTATTATTAGTGTATACATATGTCTCCTTCTTTTTTAACTTTCCTCTTCATGGAATTAGGGTAAAAATAATACAAGAACATTCTTCTTTGTTAAGTGCCTTGGTGTAGACTTTAGATATCTATACTACTTCCTTTATATAATTTCATTCTGAAAGAGCCTTTGTGAATATTCGGCTTTCCGGCTTTACTTAGTGTGTAGATTTTTCTTCGTATTTTATTATACAAAGAAAGCATAGAAACTCGTTTGAAACTCTCACTCGGAATGAACATAAAAGTGCTTCAATTTATGTTTTCATTTTACAAATCATAACATTGAAGTGTAAAGAAAACCTGAATGCTTTTGTTTGTTTTTTATTAAGCACAATGGGCTATTTGTGCTCTGTCCACTACTGGTGTACAATATCGATTTATATAGCATTATAAACCATATGACTTACCGCTGAGCCATGAGGGTCAACCTGAATGCTAAATTTAATTGGAAAACTAAAAAAAAAAAAAGCTTCAAACTTTATTTTGCAATGAAACAGTGTAAAGTTGAAGATGCATCTAAAAATTACACCAAGTCATATAAAGCTCCGTAAGGCGACAATCTCATCATTAACCTGTAGATGGGGTGATGAGAACTGACATCTCTCAAAGCTGTAGTTCTCAGCTAATCAAGATATGGCTTTTCTTAC